CACTACCCCGGTCTGCCAATCCAGAGGCACTCTCCCCGATGACCATGCGATGCTGCAGAGGCGTGTCAACCAGGACAGCCCCACAACATCCAGAGCCTTGAGAAACTCCGGGCGGATCTCTTCCACCCCTGGGGCCTTGCCACGGAGGAGCTTTTTAACCACGTTGGTGACTTCTGCCACAGAGATAGGAGAGTCCACCTCAGAGTCCTTAGACTCTGCTTCCTCCAAGGAAGGCGTGTTGGTGGAGTTGAGGAGGTCTTCGAAGTACTCGGCTCACAACGTCCCGAGTCGAAGTCAGCAGCGTCCCATTTCCACTGTACACAGTGTTAGTGGTGCACTGCTTCCCCCTCCTGAGACGTGGGATGCTGGACCAGAATTTCCTCGAACCACCAACCACCTTATGGCCAAAACTCAGATTGGCATTGAATAGAGGCATGGAACATGGTCCATTCGGACTCAATGTCTCCCGCCTCTCTTGGGACATGGGAAAAGCTCTGCCGGAGGTGGGAGTTGAAACTCTTTCTGACAGAGGATTCCGCCAGACGCTCCCAACAAACCCTCACAATACGTTTGGGTTTGCCAGGTTGGACCGGCATCTTCCCCCACCATCGGAGCCAACTCAACACCAGTTGGCGATCAGTTGACAGCTCTGAGTGTCCAAAACATGCACCCGCAAATCCGATGATACGACCACAAAGTCAATCATTGAACTGTGGCCAAGGGTGTCCTGGTGCGAAGTGTACATATGGACACCCTTATGTTTGAACAAGGTGTTCGTTATGGACAATCGGTGACGAGCACAGATGTCCAATAACAAAACACAACTAGAGTTCTGATCGGGGGGGCATTCCCCCCAATCACGCCCTTGCAGGTCTCACTGTCATTGCCCACGTGAGCATTGAAGTCTCCCAGCAGAACAAGGGAGTCCCCAGCAGGAGTACTCTCCAGCACACCCTCCAAGGACTGCAAAAAAGGTGGGTACGCTAAGCTGTTGTTTGGTGCATATGCACAAACAATGGTCAGGACCCGTCCCCCCCCACCCGAAGGCGTCTACCGGTGTGAACCTCAATGAACAGGCACTGAGCCGGGGGGCAATGAGTATGCCCACACCTGCTCTACACCTCTCACCGTGGGCACCTCCAGAGTGGAAGAGAGTCCAACCCCTCTCGAGAGAACTGGTACCAGAACCCAGGCTGTGTGTGGAAGCAAGTCCAACTATATCCAGTCGGAACTTCTCTACCTCGCACACCAGCTCGGGCTCCTTCCCTGCAAGAGAGGTGACATTCCACGTCCCTAGAACTAGCTTCTGTAGCCGAGGATCGGACCGCCAGGGTCCCCACCTTTGGCTGCCCACATGTGCACACTGCACCCGACCCCTTTGGCCCCTCCCATGGGTGGTGAGCCCATGAGAAGGGGGACCCATGTTGCCTCTTCGGGCTGAGCCCGGCCGGGCCCCATGGGTGTAGGGCCGGCCATCAAGCGCTCGCCAACGAGCCCCACCTCCGGAGGGGGGGCCCGGTGACCCACGTCCGGGCAAGGGAAATGGAGTTCCATTTATTTTATTATCCATAAGGGGTTCTTGAGCTGTGCTTTGTCTGGTCCCTCACCTAGGACCTGTTTGCCATGGGTGACCCTGCCAGGGGCATAAAGCCCCAGACAATTTAGCTCCTAGGATCATTGGGACACACAAACCCCTCCACCACAGTAAGGTGACGGCTCACGGAGGGGTGACGGCTCACGGACGGGGGAAAAAAAGAAAAGAAAAAGAAAATATCTCACCCAATTTCACTGCTTGTTCTTCTATTTGCACATACTCCGACAGCCATTCCAGCTTAAAAGAACCGCAGTTCATTCTTATTTTGGTTTGGGGAGTCGACGTATCACATTCACTGCCTGGTCGTTTCGCCATAACAAAGGATTAGCATGAGCGTCACTTATCGCCGCCGCACTTTTATTGTTATGGAGCAGAGAACATGCGCAAGTACTGTCAATGCTGTGATTGGCTGCAGAGCGTCATTGCATCGTACCATGTGATTGGCTAGACACCTGTCAATCACTGAATTACACGGCAAATTGATACAGAAAAAAAAGTTATACATTATATCAAATTCATTTGCTGTGCGTTCACTGCGCTGGATTGGTTTTCTTGTGCGCTGAGAGTGTGCGACCAGTGTGCTGTTGCGCAGCTTAGAGGGAACATTGGTGCCGTTGCACCTCCAGTAAATGTAAATCTAAATCACATAGTCGAAGTGCCGGCCCGCGGGCCAAATCCGGCCCGCGAGAAGGTTTTCAGTGGCCCCTGGGATGATATTTATTTATTATTAGAACCGGCCCGCGGACCGCAGCAAGCCGAGAGCCCGCAGATCTTTTACACGCACCAATACTACATTTCCCACAATGCAACGGTGACGCGCCAAGCAGTCGGCCGCTTTATTTAATTATTTATTAGTCTAGCAGTCGTTCCCATAACAGTGACATTAGCTTTCAGATACCCATCAAAAATGGCAAAACGGAAGGTGGACACTGAGAACCGGGGGTTTCAAACAAGGTGGGA